ATTCTTTCGCTCGCAATATAAGGGTAATCCTTTAAGAGCCTTTAACGCCGAGCTAAGTCTCCAAGCTAAGGTTCTAAAGATAGAGCTTGTGTGGATAGATTAGTTCGCCTATTATTTTATCGAACTACGGATTATTTGCGAATTATAGGTTCGATCTATCGACATCTTCTTAATCGGTGTTCACAGAGGAATTCTTTGTGAAACCTTTGTTACACACAGGGATGTAATCAGCGATGATATTCGCGAATATCAGTGTGGACGTGGCATTACTAACTTTTCTCGCTGGCCACTACTTTTTCGCTCATTTTTTTTTTTTTTCTCCTCCTCCTCCAAGCTTTGAGTCGCCTCTACTCTCCACGCCATTATCACCAGCTTTTTGGTCGCCTTCGAGCTCGATCCATATAATGCCTACGCTTTTACGACCCCTCTTTTACGACCTTACGAAACGAAACGAGCCGAAAATGTCGTAGCCGCGGTTTGTCCGCCTTCCCTTCTGTTCTCTTCTCTCTCTGTTCACCATTTTAGCGAGCAATGCAATGTCTTTGATTCTCTTTCTCTCTCGCATTTCTCTCGTTTCACTGGATCAAACATTGGATTAAACCGTCGAACTGTTGCTTCGAATTCGTCGGCCGCTTTCAATGAGGATTCTTCCTCCATCTTTGATTCCTGATTTCTGACATAAATATATATATATATACAGGAACGGGGCGGGTTTGGACGGGGAGTTTGTTTCGCGGAGAACATCTGCTCGCTTTGACCCCGACGACGGAAATGCATCGTGGCCTGGATCAGCAAGTATAATGAAAACCAACAGCCGATGGTAAACTTTATCGAGATATAGATACAGGGCTAGTTCTAGGTAGATGTGTGTCAGAAACGTGCATGCACGATTCAATCTCTGCGTGGGACAAAGTAATAACATGCATTCGTTTGTGTTTCTTGTCGAGTAAGAGGGAGGGGAAAAAATTATGCGATTATGAATTTAATAAAAATTATTATTAACGTGATAAAATTTTTTTTTTATTCTTAAATAAGAAGAATCTCGTTCACACACGTTTTATATCGTATAATCTTTAATGATAATATTCAGAATATTTTCATATCTATCAACTATTAACATAACTCTCTGACATACAACTTGCCACAAAGTCCGAAAAGTCCGGCCTTGCATAGATGTAACAGGGATTTAAACACGAATTTAAGCCACGTCGCGTAAAAGATACACGTAAATCACACCTGTACCGTGTATAAACTTGTTGGATAAGTTCGAAATAAGCCCCGTTGAATGCACATCTTGAGCTCACCCTAATAACTAGCCGGATGTATCGCCGCCGAGGCATTAAGCTTGTAATATTTATCGTACAATGTCTCCACCGATGGATACAAAATCGTAATTCTCTTTCTCAATGTGAAAAAAATATCAAGCCAAAAATCTTTCTTGATTGATTAATTAATTAGAAGAACAAAGGGAGAAACGATAGACGAAAATATAGACGGTTGCAATATATCGCGGAAAAGGAGGAATGGAAACAAAGGAAATTTGATTTTTGTTGTGCTAGCGGTATCGGAGCGGAGCGAATACTTTTCTGTATAACGTGCAACGATTCAAATTTATTCCACCGCCTCGAGGCGACGGTAAAAGACACATCAGAGCCGCGCACAGACAGAATGTGTCTTATCGATCCGTTCTATTGCGATGGTCATAACAAATTCATGGAGGAAAATACTCGGCGATGCCGCGAGGGTGAGACAGAGGTGCGCGCAGAAGTACGTGGAGGGAGCCGTAGGGTGAGAAAACGCAGACAGTGATTTCGTCTCTTATCGTTAATCGATACACGATGCTAAAATTACCGGAAAAATGTTGGAAGTGGTTCGCCGCGAAATCGGTTTTTAAGCTGGATGAGACCAGTAATTAAAAGGTGACCAGAATCGATAAATGCCAGGTTTGAGCGGGAAAAAAAAAAAAAAAGAACGTTTGGTTACACCCTTGTTCGAATATAAAACACCCTTATAGATATAGAAAGGAAATGATTCACAGCCGTCGAATACGAGTCGATTTGCATCTCGATCTCCTCCATTCCATTCGACAAAATTATTACGCGATCCCGCGTAAATTTTTATCACGCTCTCTGAAATACAACAACGTACAATCGATTACCCATCGTTCCCATTTTTACCTTGTTCTCCTTCCGAAACGATTATACACCCCTGCAGCTAATAAAAAAAAAAAAAAAAAAAAAAAAGGAAAAAAAAGGAAAAAAAAATAGTCTATAGTCGCCGTTATTATCGGCCACCTATCATTCGAGAATATCTGTCGAAGATAAAAATACATAGGTCAGTGGCCCTGCTGCGACGACAGCCGTACATACGGTGAAACAATGTCCTGTCCTGGCTATAAATATGAAATATTCGCTATAAACGCCGCCGACTTCGTATCATACTTATGGAAACTCGACGTGTATTTTTCCCTGACTTTATGATAGTTCGTGTCTCGCTTCGCATTTCTCTTTTTCTCTTTCTTTCTCTCTTTCTCTCTCTCTCTCTCTCTCTCTCTCTCTCTCTTTTCCTCGTATAAAAATAAACTAGGGATACTAGTGGCGATAATCTAGAGCATAGATGAACAATAACATGGAACGAACAATAGAGAGCATAAAACGGTAGCGATATTTATAAAGCTTGTAATCTATGCACGATATCTATCGCGTGGGATAATACAAATCTGCGAAATATTAAACGATCGCAAACACCACCACGTGTTTCCCTTTGTATAGTGAGCAGAAAGCATGTAATTACTACATCGTTAATGCTTCAGTGATCGTTGTTTCGTCGATAATTAATTTTCGCTGTTTCGTTGAATAATTCGCGCTATATATATATATACGTATGCTCATGTATGTCCGAGTGAAAGTGGTTGCCGTGTGTACGCAAAATACGCGGGACCATCATTACCGACCGGGTAATGATCGACCTGAATGAAAATTCATACGAAATTTCCGGTACCCCATACCTAGACCGAAATCAACCGGAATTGTTTCGATTTTGAGTTGAACAGCCCGTTAATCGACTTTAAACGACAAATGGAACTGGATTGGCGAACGATTAAAAACTTATTAAAAGCCGCTATTTGTCTGCTTGAAAATTTCTCGCTTATTTCGCGAGATTACCGATTTAATTTTGGATCGGTGGAAAATTATTAGTTTTCTTAATTGTAAAGAATTTAATTCCTACTCTATAAATAATAAATATTCTAGTAGCTCTAGTAATTATTAATAATTTATTTTATTACGATAATACGCGATAAAAAGCAACGCTTTAGCTAATTTATTTGAAAAAAAAAATCGATCAAGGATTAGGAAATTTTATTAAAAATTGTCGATAATTCGTAATATTTTACAATATTTTCTTTATTTCCGTCTTCGTATAATAAATTTCCTCCCGAAAATGGTCGGTTTCGAAGACAACAATGAAAAGCAGCGGAGGACCAACCGAAAATAAACCGTGTTGCACACGGGTTGACAAGTCGAATGCATAAGGTAAACACGGTTCATTACTGCAGCATTCATTACCGTACCTTCTGAAACGACAACCCTTCGCCTTTGCTTTCACCGGTTTAATGCCGGGTCGGAACAAGGCCGCTTTTGGACAACTCTTCTACGGACTTCTTGAATAAATGAACAACGCGATGCGTAACAAGCCACGTTCGAAAACGTTTCCCTTTTAAAAGCGCTTCGCACGCACTATATATATATACATACATACATACATATATCGAAATAAATAGTTCTCACGTTTCCACGCCGCACCCGTTAGAATTTGAAGCTCGCAGCAAACGCTGCGAACCATGTTTAAAGTTTGCTGTCAGCTCAACGCTGACGGTTGTGTATGCTACAACGGGGGAAATTCGTGAAGTTCCTTGGCAAAGTAAGCCTTATTTCGTTTCATTTGCAAATGTTATTTGCATTTGCGAGACAAGCTTCCATGAAAGCATCCTGTACGCTTTCTCGTTTCACTCGTTCCATCTCCGATACAGTGTAACGTGTCACTGCAAATATCCTCGCTAATTAACGCGAATCTATCCCGATTACCTTCTGTAATCGCCCTACGTATTTTAAACACGGCCATTACACGTATAATGTAACACGTATTCGTCGCTTCGATTTCACCGATCCTCGGTCTTCTTTAATAAATATACTCGAATATGAGATGGAGGAAAGTATATGTGTGTATGTGTGTGCGGACACATGTATAAACGACGAAACTGTTTATTCGTGCATTTATCGGTATTATGACGCGTACGTGCTCACGCATATTCCTGATCTAGACCGATACGCGTCAACGTGTTAAATAAACGTGGAGTGACAAGGTGAAAAGATTCGCGTGACGTCCGAAGCATACAAATCTGATGTCAAATATTCGATGTCGGTATTCGAGTAAAGAGGACTCCATCTATTTAAAAATGATATCTCTCGTTAATCTATTTTTCCTTTCTTTTAAGATACGAATGTTCGGGATGCTTGCCGGAGGGAACCTTTAGGATAAATATTTCTATAATTTGGCCTTCATCTTTTTTTTCTTTTTAGAATTTTTCTATTAACTTGATATTTAACGAATATATATATATACTTTTTATTTGGAACGAATATATCCTCGTAGACCTTTTCTATATATCCTCTTTCTCTCTCAAAATTTTACAAAATTTTTTGTTAGTTAAAAATAAAATTTCTTTTATGGAAATTCGTTCAAATTATTGAATATTCCATATTTCACTGAGCTATTCTATCATTATTTATAAGAATATCATTTTTATCCAACGAATATACCGAATATATTTTTAGGATTATTCAAAATCGAAATTTCGAAGCTTCGAAATTGTGAGATATTTTTCTCGATAACGTGATCCTTTCTCTATAATTCTAAAATTTTTTTCATATATTCAAAAACTTCTACACATATTCGTTACATATCTTCATCTTAATCCAGTCTTTTCGAAATCTTTCCTCTCAACATCTCCGGCGTCCCCATAGGCTACTCGTACCGTCACCCTTCCTCGCGATCGTACGATCGACCAACTCCTCCCTCGGTGTTTTTAAATCGTATGCCAACCCCACACGCGCCATCAACTCTATGAAACCGGTGGTTGGATTCAGGCCGTACGCGCCCAGTTCAGCAGCCTTGTAATCCCACGGGAAGGAGTGATGGTAATTATGCCAACCTTCACCCAGTGCGAAGAAAGACACTGCCGGGTTCTCCGTCGGTTTCACCCTCCTGCAGCCGGAGGAAACGGGGTTAAATCGCGCTTGAAAAACTCGCCTTGCCTCGCCTCGCCTCGCCTCGCCTCGCTCGTTTCAAAGTTTTAATTAACTTGTAAAGGAGGAAGGGAGAGATGAACAACGCGGCGAGACTTGCCTGTTGTACGGTCGATTTCCCCACATGTGGGCGAAACTGTTCACGATAAAAGTTGCGTGCAACGACCACACGTAGCGAATGAGGGCCGCGTGAACGCTTATGAACCACGTCTCGTCCCATGCAAGGATCGGCACCAATATCGGCATCGCGAAGCACAACGTGAGCATAATGACCTCGTAATACCTGGAACGGAGACAATAACTGGAGGAAACGTTAAGGAGAAATTCCTCAGGGAGGGGGGGAAGCCAGCTTTTTCAACGAGCGCAAATTGTTGCGCCTTCTGTTGGAGAATATTTCGGTTTCAACTCGATCAAAATTCAACGGGTGCGAGAAATTCATGAATCCATTGGAACAAACCGGTGTAAATACGATGGACGGTAAAAGCGCGTGCCGCGTCTCCTATGGCCGTTTCAAGGGGTAAGATGTCTTACTTGTCGAAGAATTTTATCACAGGATCGGCTGCGATGTCGCTCATATCGATTTTACTGCCGTACTCCTTCACTGCCGGGTCCCGTTTAACCATCAGCCAACCGATATGGGAGAAGAAGAATCCACGAGTCGCGTCGTGTGGATCAGCGCACGTTTCCGTGTATCTGTGGTGCGTCCTGTGGTCCCGTATCCATTTGTAAAAGTGCGTCTGATCGAATGGGAAAAAAAATATCTGTGATGTCATTCGGGATATACTTACACGACAAAACGATTGCACGTATCCTGTAATTCTCGATGTTCCAATGCTTCGTACGAAATATACTTGATGATATGGAATTTGTTTTATTGTATGAAGAATAAGAGTGATAGAAAATAAAAAGTTTCGTATTTGTTCAGGAATTGGGAAAAATTTTCTCAATCTTATTGAACTCGCTGGAAATTATTAGATAACGTGCTATCTTTTTGTCGCGTACTATAAAAGTGAATATTTTTGACAATTATTCGAGATAATTTAATTGCTTCGTAATTGGACTTTTTTATTTTTCTCTGTGAGTATGATAATGAAAATTCAAGAAGAGGATAAAAAAATCTTTTAAGCAAGATGAGAGATAATTGTGTGTTTTAAGTGATTCAATCAATTTTAGAAAGTATATTTTTAATAATTATTGAACGAAAGAAATTAGAATGGAATAATGAACGAAGGGGAGAAAAAGTTAGAGGTCCAAAAAGTACCCTGAAAAAAAATTTGATTTCGAAAAGATCTTATTAGAAGAGTTTAACTTACCTGTCCAGCCATGCAATACAAATAAGCCAAAAAGATTCGCAAAGGAGTCTTGGCGGAATAACTTTTATGCGCCCACAGTCGATGAGCCCCTGCTGTTATTCCGAAGCCGGCAACAACACCGTACACGATATCTTGATGAAAATAACGTAACGTGAAAAAGAAAAAAAAACAAACGGTTTCGGTCGAAAGAAAAGTCTCGGCCTTATTATCTCCCTATTATTGAAAAAAGAATGAATAAAACTCAACTTTCTCTTGATAAAAATATTCGAATGATCGACAAATCAATTTGAATACTGAAAAAGAGAAATTCGATAAAAAGAAAAATTCGAAAGGGAGGAAAAAAAAGAAAGAAAGAAAGTAAACCGAAACACGATATACTTACTCCAAATCCATGTCCACAGCTTGGCATCACGATAACCGTTCACGAAACCGTAAACGGCGAGGAAATGAAGCACAATGATACCAATCACATTTCGCCATATTATCCGTAACCTGGCCGGGGTTCGTTTCCCGGCGAGTGGAACTGGTTCCACGTCCTCCTCCAACTTTCGATGATTCTCGTCCTTCTTCTTCTCCTCGTGCCGAGTAGTCACCGTGGTAGTGTACATCCTCCAATCTCTCTCTCTCTCTCTCTCTCTCTCTCTCTTAATTTGAAAATTGATCGATTCCCCTGTTAAAACTTTCAGAAAAAAAAAAGAAAAAAAGTCATCCACCCTTCCCATTAAATTTTACGATCGGCCGCCTGTATAAAATTTCCGTTCATTAAATATAATACGGATACTTTAATTACCTCGCACCATAGCTGCGTTAATTAATTAACACGATTACCCATATTAAGCTTGGCGATATGATTGTCAATTATACGTACGATATAAAAGCGGGGTAATTGCATGCACTTCCGTCGCATCATCGATTCTCTTCTTGTCGCGTACACGAAGAGAAGAAGAGAAACACAGGCCGATAGGCGTAATTTCCCAGATATAAGGAAGTTAGCTCTATTACGGGCGCGGCCATTTTCAGAAAGAGAGGACCAGAGGGCGAAATGTCTCGAGCTTTTGACAAGCTTGATAAATTTATAACTTTACTGTAGAAATGCATTAAGCTATGGTGAAATAAATTACGCGATTGAAGGAGGCAATAAGCGCCCTTAATAGTCTTAATTTAATTGAGCGCTCGTTTAATGCTACCGGCGAAGGGGATTAGGGGGAATAAAGTCAACCGTGAGGTAAATCTAGGAATTTTTCATTTAAGGCGATCTAAGGTGTATTCGCTAAACGGTGGGATCGGATGCTGCGTAAATGCGATAAAATAAATAATGCTTTCCATTTCGCCCCAATTAATATCTTTCGCGGGCGATCAACGAGCCTTGGAATGGCATTATCGATGACTAACGATGTGGAATGGATCTTGGATTGGAGGGTACGATCAAACATCATCGTACAATTTTTAAGAAGATGCGAAAAGGGTGATCGTAAATGGGTGACGACATAATAGGAAAATTAAATTAGATTCTTCTAATTTCTATTTTATTCATCGTTGGAAAGAATCATTGGACGTCTATTTACGAATGATATCGATATTAATTTTTTACATTTACATTGTTTCGTTCTTTTATATCGAGCTTAATATCCCAGTTATAAATGTAACAGTAACATTGAAAATTTAACTCCGCTGCGTTTAACAAATTTAACTTGTTTAATTACCAGGTTAAAAAAATTATATACTTGTGATATTTTGCGTTATTACTTTTGATAATTTAAAAATGTATGAAAGATAACTAAATGCTGCATTGTGAGGATTACGTTTATAAAATGTTAGATGTTAAATTATGAAAACTTTTAATCTGAAACAAAAAAAATATTAATGTTAACGTTACACACGAACTGGTTGCAAATTAGATATAGTTGATTGCATAATATAGCTACGAAACAGATATGATTTCTGGAAAAATTCATTATTTTTGTGATCATAATCATCGTTCAATATATACCACGTGTAACCACTATCTTTATCATAGGACAGAAAACAGAGTTTTCGAACGATAAGATAAATTCGAAACAGATTAAATTACCCACGATGCAATTTGATTATTTACAGAGCACATCTGAATCGTGCAAATTAATCGATAGAAGAAAGAACGAAATCCAGTCGAATACCCAGAGAGATTCAATCAAAAAGTTTAATGCATTCGAAAACGATTTCGTACATCGTGAATTATTCCAGAGAGAAATTAGACGGATAGAGAAAAAGAGAGAGAGAGAGAGAGAGAGAGTGAAAGATCCTGAGAATTCTTTATCGTTCTCTATTATCGCTTCAAAATGAAACTGGCATAGAAATTTTATTAACCGGTTTGGAATCTGTTCAACCGAAATACGTTCAACCAGATGTCCGATTTTGCATTAATAAATTCGATTGGGAGATGTACGATTCTGCATCTGATCGGTGCATAAAGGCTACGACTACATCTGCGACTTCCGTGGCGCGGAAAAGATATTTCACGATGTATGGAAAGCTTCCTTTTCCTTAACCGATACGATATATGTTCGTAACAGTTTGACATCGAACGAGTTACGACTCGAGGGATCGGTATTATGTTATTTACGGAGGATTAACCTGCTTGGACAATTTCAAAGAAATATCAGCTTGTCTGAAATCGAGATCCTCGTAATAAGAAAAGAGGTCGAGTAACGTGATACATAAATTGGAGGTATATTGGCAACGTTGGCAGTTATAAATTGGTTAGTGGATTTTATAAAATAAGTGAATAAGCTGAAATGTTATTTTTATTTAAAAATTCAAACAAATGGATAATAAATTAAAGCTGATAAATCATAATAATTATGAAGATAAATTAACCTTTTGCGGGTACGTAATTATTTGATATAAATAAATGTAAAATTGCGCGAGATAAAATGCAAAAGAGTAATCGTGCTGTTACGGGCCAAATATCCAATATGCAATTTAAATATAGAGATTTAGAATAATAATAAATAAAATCGTTTCTGCAAATAGAAATCTACTAAAATAAAATATAAACGTAAGAAGAATTTTGGGAAATTTTAACTTGTATTGGTTAAAGAAGAAATAATATCAAATTTTTATATACTATACTAAAAATACTACCAAATGATACAAAAATTAAAATATAATTGAACTTAATTAATTAACATAACAAATGTTATAACAAATAGCGTAGAAATTCAATTTCTCGTAGATCGAGAATTAATTGACCTATCGTTTAAAATAAAAGGAGAGAAACGATAATTTCATCCATTTTCATATTAAACTTATAAAGAACGCGATACCATAGATATTAATAATAAACATTTTCATATTATACACAGCATAATAACAGTCAACGTTCCTCCAATCTACGATACCCGTTCGCAATAAATACACGTAATCTCGTGTCATTAATATCTACACGGTATGCACATTTTGACAGATTGAAAATAATTGCCGATATTTCATCACACACCTCTTTCTCTCTCTCTCTCTCTTTCTCTCTTTCCACGCCGTTACTCTTGCGATAATAATTAGAAATTAATTCAGTGTACGCTGGTACCGTGAAAAAATTATTAATGCATATGTATTCAACCGCTAATCTCTTCTCTCATTAACCACGGTTCCTTAAACCGTGTTCCTGTGAAATAGCCTTTCGAAATTCGGGAAACGATGATTTACGACACGTAGCGGGCATCAAACCGAGTTGCTGTCGCAACTTTCGCTCGTAAAAACCTTGTCTTTCGACACGATGGCAATTTCCTTCTCGTTTTCTATGCCGGATCATAAAAATTGGGCCCATCGATCGGCGGCGGCCACGTATCTCGTGGCCGCGACACGAATGATGAACCGTCAAGCGAACGGTATCGATGGAACTGACACGGCGAGTACACGTACGTTGAAATTATTGTCCCGTTGTTCTGCCGTGATACAGTGAAACGTTTGGCTGACAGCTCACGGTGACGCTCACGATAACGTCGCCGATAAACCGAATTGAATTTTCGGTGTTAATATCCAGGGAAGATCGGAGATAGATTTTAAGCAAGGATCGCCATCTATCGCCATCCTTCGTCGATTTATTCGCCTTCCCATTTATTCGAGAAGAATAAATTTGGAAATTTTGAATAATAGAAGATTCAATAAAGTTAACGTGGATTCGAGATTGTGATTTGTGTAGATGTTTCTACGATGGTTATTTATTTTTACTACCAAAGCTACTTTATTATAATTATTGGTGGTTATTGCTAGGTTTCAGAAGCTTCTAATTTTTTTATCTGTTATTCTAATTTTTTTTAAAAGTTATTTCATCGTTAAAATAAAATTTTTGAAGGAAAGTTTGGAAAAAAATTATCATATTTTTATTTATTTTTAACCAATTTTTATCTAGATAAAGCACTCAAGGTGTAGAATAAATGATTAGAATTACCCTCAGGTAAACATTAATCAACCAGTTACTTTTAAGTTAAATTTAATTATATTTCATTTTTATATTATCAAAAATTTTTATTATTTTTTTTTTTTTTTTTGAAAGAATTTTTCTTTGCGCTTATCAAATACACGAAAAAATTCGCTAAAAGAATATATATTCGCATATGTTTGAAATCACGTAAAAATCAAACGTAGAATTTTTCGTTATTTCGTAAAAATAAATAAAAATATGATACTTTTATCGATTGAAATCTTGTTTTAGATAAAATAAAACTTTAAAAAAAAAAAAGAGTAGAGTAATATTGTAAAATTGGAAAAAGTTAAATAAAACTAGACAGTTATTAAAACATGAAATATATTATTAAATATATTAATATTTAATCTCTCATTGATGGATCTCATCGTCGACATTCCAAATTTAAAATTTTTACAAAAGAAGCCTAAAAATATAGAAAATGATCCATTTCTTCCTTTATCATAACATTTAAAATATTTGATTCAAAAATTAAAATTCATTCTGTGTAGATGTTATTTATGAGAATTAATTATACTTCAATTTGGATTTGTTTTTTAAATAAGGACAAATTACTATTATTATTCAATCTCAATATTCCCAATATTAACAAACGCTTATATTTCTTTAAATTGGATTTGCTCCTTTCTACTTAACTAACCAAATATCTCCTCTGCTAAATTTCGAATAATAAATTGAATGAATAATTAAATCATTGATTAACAAATTTCCAATTAATCGCAAGAATATTCTAAATATAAACTGAATAAATTACCAATAAATAGAAACTTCCGCTAACCATAAATTATACCAATGCCAATTAAATATTCATTTCTTTGATCTTTTATAAAACTTGTACCTATCCATCCAAATCCGCTACTATGATTCTTATATTTCGAATTTATAATTCGAATTAAACGTTTCATTTCGAAATTTTATCTAACCGAATGAATCCTGTCGCAATCGAAATTTCTCGCCCAAGTTTTTATACCCTCCCCCCCCCCCTCTCTCAAAACCCCATTTCGCTTCGTATCACGCCTTCCGAATGGCGTGAACACGCGGTGAAACCAGCGTGACCATTCGCAGATATTAAATCCACGCTCGATTGCCCAGAAGCCCAGTGGATAGCACTGTGCAACAACGCCACGGGTACCGCTTTGTAAT